GATAGATAGATAGATAGATAGATAGATAGATAGATAGATAGATAGATAGATAGATTATGGTTGATGTCCAGAAACTGTTCTATTACTTGTTAGATCGATAAAGCCATCTCCAGGAATAATTTGGCGCGGCTGTTTTCTTCACGCCTTGAGAGATTTCTTTCACCTGATTAGCTATAAATTTAATGGCACATTAATCTTCAACGTACGCTTGACACGATATTATGTTCAGACAATCATACTCAGCAAACAGGAATATCAAGGCTTTATCTCAATTACGCTCAGTTTGGAGAAATTAGAGTGTAAACCTCTCAAACACAATGCCTCCCTAAAAAAAGAACAAAATGAACTGTTCTTTTATAGTTAAGGGAACAAAAGGGCTATCACTATTGATTTACAAAGTTAAGATTTTTCAGGGGAGGGGTCCAGACTCTCTTACTTTGAAAAATAAACATTCCAATTTAGAACCTTGTTGTCGCGGCGTCGTGCAATCTTTGAGGTTTCATAATTACTTTGAGATTGACGGCTTTCTTCCTGTGTCAAATAACAAAATCAACCAGGGTGTACAGAGTATGCCATGACCTCTGGTCGTTCAACGTTATCTCTGCTTAATGATCACCGTTATTGTTTGTCTTCGTCTAGAGATCAAATATGAAGGGCACATTAGCCTTCTGGTTGAAATTTTTTCCTTGTTTTGTTACCTTAGTAGTGCGTGCAAGTGCCGCCAAACGTTTGATTTGAATTAGATTTTGCTGGCGGCTAACAGGGTTGATGATGTGAAGCATGAAATTTTGACATTGCAACATTCTGACATTAAGAAGATTCTGCAGACATTCAGACTGTCATTAAGATATTAAAATTTAGACTTTCAGATATTTTGGCATTAAAAGAGCATGGGGCAATCAGACATTAAAATATTCAGACATTAAGATTTTCAGACATACAGACTTTCAAAGGTACCTACATTCAGGCATCTGGCAGTCAGACAGCAAGACATTCATATTATTGGACATTCAAATTTTCTGATATTCAGAAATTCAGGCCTTCAGACATCTAGATACTAACTAAAACTATTAAACATTCAGAATTCGGATATTAATACATCGAGGGATTCATTCGTTGTGACATTAAAACTCGCCAACATTTCGACACTAAAGCACTTAAACATTCAGATATACAGATAAACAAAGTGAAGTTGCAGGTTCGGTGGTTCGAGCCTCAGCTCGGCCCGACGCTGTGTCAATGGGAAAGGCACTTTACACGAATTTCCAATTTGACTCGGTCGTTTCGGAAATGAATATTAAACTCTGAGTTCCCGCCCCTCAAGTCACTTCAAACTGTTGATAGAGGCGTTAAATTCATACCACTTCACCATTTCCTAGAAAAACAGACATTAAGTCAATAAGAAAGCATCTGATCCCACAGTGACGCCAAGTTGTGGTGTTCATGCAAGCTACAGACTTCAACATAAGTAAAGGACCACTTGCAAACACTCCGAGTGGTCTTCTTGGGTCGACCTGCACATTGTGGGCGTTCTTGGACTGTTCCAGTAGCTTGAGGGCGCTACCTCAAGCGGACAATGATAGAGTGTGACACTGCAAGCCTTCTGACAACTTCTCAGGATTCCCCGAGGATTTCCTTGCCGCACGTGGTGGTTTTGCCACTTTAGGAAGCTTTGCAGTGTGCATTGGTAACCCATTTACACTTTCAGAGGAAAACAAAAAATAGAACCATTGTTTGTTGTCTTTTTTCGGATAAAAAAAAAAAAGAAGCAGGGCTGTGTGTAGAGGCGGTCCTTAACTTATGTTGAAGTCTATATGAACGTGTTGTAACGTTTCTAAGTTCCGTGTTGTGACATGTTTCTTGCACCGTCTTGGTGCGGCGTGCTCATTGGAAATATTGTGTTAAAAGTAACGAGATGCTTCTGTTTCATACCAATGTATTTGAGAGAGAGAGAGAGAGAGTGAGAGAGA